GCTAAAATAAGTTTACAACTCGGTAAATAAAGAAATCATAGCTGATGGGGGACTATTGATTGTTTTGCAGTTCTTTGCCATTGTAAGCCTTGAGGTTACTATTCTGTTTTATGTGGGAGCAGGGGGTATAAGTTAGCTGTTGGCTTACAGTTCTAGTTCTATTTATTTTCCAAATGCTAATAAGATTGTGTGTCCCCTTATTCTGTTACAATTGTGAAGGTTAATGATTGAAATGCCTGTTGTTTATAATGGTCTCACTTGATGTGATACAAAGGTTCATGACTCCTTAACTCCTACCCCCTAACACCACATCCCCCCAACCCCCACCCCATACCTTTTAATGTTGAACTTGCTTTTGTCTCACACTCTACAGATTACTGTGACTCCATCTGAAAAACTGTTTGTGTTCTGGGTTATGTCCCATCTATAGATTGGCATGCCTATGTGACTCTAATTGAATAGCTATTGTATTCTGGGTGAAACTTGTATAACACTTGTCTGAATCACTATTTGGGTTCTGGGTAAAATTTGTGTCCTACTACTACAGATTGGCATGCCTGTGTACTGTATGGCAATCAACCCCCGTAGACACCAGCTTGTGTGTGGAGTCAACGGAGGCATACGTGTGTACGCCCTGGACGAAAGTAAGTCTGCTCTACTTACTAACATATAAACTCGCTTTATTGCGGTAACATTGATGATACTTTTGTACATACATGACAGCACCTAAACAAACATCCAGGGTAACATTGTCATTATTTTGTTTTTCAGATCGACTCTCCGGTCATGTTATCGATAATGATGTGTTGTTCGTAGCCTGTGAACATCAAGACATTGTCCGATGTATCATTTGTAACGAGTCACGCATTTACTCAGCTGGGTACGCATTAAACCATCCATTATCACGAAGTACACCTCAGATAATATAATTAAGTTGGACCAGTATGGTAGTTTGATAGTAAAAAACTTTTGTTTGGTTGAAAACTGAGAAATACACTAGTGACAGAAGGAGGTTGTTATGATGACAAAAGAAAGTGGTTAATATTATAACAAAAAAGGTATAATAATTTCCAATGATCAACAAATAATTCTGCAGTAAATTTTCAATATTTGAACATGTAATGAGTATTGATACTTGTGATCTTTCTATCTAGCACAGAGTATTATAGTTTTTTTGTGACATGTATTCCTCCAGGTATGACCACCAGCTAGTTATCTATGATTCCTCATACACTGGAGATAATAGTCTGGTACCCATATTCCAGTAAGTTGATTCTACTATTAAAATCAAAATAACATAGAAAATAACTTAAGCTGCTATACTGTGAATAGTTATTTTTGAGAAAATTTAATTTTCATGCATTTGATATACTTGGAGTGTGATTTTATATTTGATCAAAAACTGATAATAATAAGCATAGTCAAAATACATATTTTCTGTAAATTGTTTCGGCATTGATGTTTATCTTTGTGATTCTACAGTAAATAATTATTTGATGACTTATTTTGGATAAGTACATCTGTTTGTGTAAATCAATGAGATTGTTCAACATTTTGTACGATGTTCTCCATTATCTTCCAGGAACCCCACAGCTCATGATGCCGGAATTTCATGTCTGTTACTAGCTAAAGATAACGAAAATAATACATGGTAAGGAAAGAGGAGGTTGAAACCTGTATGGTCTGGTTAACAGGGCGTATTGGTAGCATTATAGTTCTGTAGAAACCTTACAATATGGTCT